CCATTGCCCTCTGTGGGCTGAGCGGGCGGGAGTAGAAGCCGCTGCAGGAATGGCGGTCCCTGTCCCGGCCCTGGCGTGGGTCCGTGTGGCGACTCCGAGCTTCAATCCCAGGTGGGAGCTGTGAGCACCACTGGCGGCTCCGATCATGGGCTGTGAGGCGGGGAACACCGCTCTCCGGACTTCTCCACGGGACTTTCGGACACGGAAAACCTCACGGCCTGAGACAAAAATCTGGGAAGATGAAATCCTGCCACAAGGATTATCCGTCCCGCCCTCCCGAAGCGCCCAAACGGAAATGCCTTCTCTGAGCCTCCACTGGCTCCGCCTGATGCCATTCCATCCGTGGCCTTCTGGGTAATGTAGTTTCTAAGAGCCAAGGCCAGGATCCAGTATCTCTCAGTTGACTCTAGGACTGGATTTAGGGGCAAATAGCCCAAGAACATACCAAGTACACTAAGGGTCCTCTAGCGCCTTCAGGGGAGGCGATTTCCAAGGCAAGATTGTTCCTCCTGCACCTGCCTGGCTTTCTTTAGCTGCGGTTTTGCATATCTTTGTTCAGGACTTGCTGTTTTTTAAGGGCAGGCATTGTTTCTTCATTCAAGACTTTTAGCATGTGTTTCCCTGGGGCCATATGTATCTGGAGGAGGTTGTTCAAGACTCTAACTGCCTTAACCTGCCTCCATTGAATCCATTATACAAAGTTAAGGTCATGTTATACCAGAGTTCGGGGTCCCCAATAATCCACGACCAGGGAGCCTTTTCCGATACAAAAGCAAAGGGTCTTTTATTCAAGCCCGGGACTTGCTCCCCCTCCTGCCTCCATTACTGGATGCAAGAGAGAGCCCCGAGTTCCAAGAGAACAAAGAATTTATAGGGCTTGGGGTTGGGGGGTGGGGGTACACTCTGACCACTGATTTGGCCGATTCTGGTTGGTTGAGTGAGGGCCGGCGGCTAATGACACAAGGGCAGGGTGCATCTAGGGTCTGGTTACACAAAGACAGGAGGTGGCTAGCATACTTTTGGCCTTGGGCTAGTTTCCTTGCGTTCCTATTGGCTGAGATAAGGGCTGGCTGAGCAACTGATACATTCTATGGCTTTTGCTTGAAGAGGAGTTAGGAACACGGTTATCAGCCCCGTTCTGTCCCTTCAGTCACAAAACAGACTCTCATACTTAAGGGCATCTGCTTCTTATGCCATCCAAAGTGTCAGCACTGCCTGGGCTGCAGTGTGGATAAGATGCTCAAGAAACATGAAAAGATGCTTAAAGGCACAGGTCATCAGAGAGATGGAAATTCAAGCAACAATTACGAGTCACCTCACTGCTTTCACAATGGCTGCCATCAACAAATGAACAAAATTCAAGTGCTGGGGAGGATGTGGAGAACAGGGACCCTAGTACACTGCTGGTGGGAATGCAAACTGGTGCAGCCAGTATGAAAATCAGAATGGACTTTCCTCAAAAAATTTTGTATGGAACTTCCATTTGATCCAGTGATTCCACTTCTAGGAATATATCCTAAGAAACCTGAAATAATAAGATCGAATATATACTCCCTTCTGTTGATAGCAGCACAATTTACAATAGCAAAGATGTGGAAACAGCCCAAGTGTCCATCAATAGGACTGGATTACAATGCCTTGATACAGCCCTCGCCAGTTTGGCTCACTGGATAGAGCCTCACCCTGCAGACTGAAGGATCCCAGGTTTATTTCACGACAAGGGTACATGCCCAGGTTGCAGGCTTCATTCCCAGTAGGGAGTGCACTAGAGGCAGCCAATCAATGATTCTCTCTCATCATTGATGTTTCTCTCTCTCTCTCTCCCTTTCATTTCTTCTCTGAAATAAATAATTTTAAAAAAATCATCTCTCAGGGGGGGAAGGACACATATGTAATACCCGTTGTAATACTTATTATAATATTTTTTAAAAAAGAATAAAAAAAATCTGAGAAAAATTTATACCATGGAATACTCTGCAGCAGTAAAAAAAGAAGAATTTTTACCTTTGCAGACAGCATAGAGGCACCTGGAAAGCATCAAACCAAGTGAAATCAGTAAGTCAGAGAACGACAAGTATCACTTGATCTCACTCATATAGGAAATCTAATTAACAAAATAAAGTGGTGAATGGAGTGGATTCAGAGACATGGAAGCATGCAAGGGAGTACAGAATCTCTGAGGAAAGGAATAGGAGAGGAAAAAAAGAAAAAACAGCCTCCGGTAAGGATTAAACACACAGACACACAGACACACACACACACACACACACACACACACACACACACACACACAGTGACCTGAACCTTGAGCTTTGTCTTCTGTTCTCTGAATACAATGGGAAAACACTTGCTTGCTGTGTTCTGAGTGTGCTCTAAATTTGTGTTTATTAATCTGTGTTCAATCAGTTGAGTCTCTGGAAATGCTGATACCCCTCCATGTAACTTTCTCCTGCTTCCCATGAGTCAATTCTTTTGGTAATGTTGAAAGAAATGTCCAAACTTGTGGAGAATTTTTCTAAGTTCATGTGACCCAAGCTGGTAACACTGCCAGGAAGCAGAATAACAATAAATTGCTTGGGAGAATGGCAGTTTTGCACCTTTTTATACATGAGACTAAAGAAGAAGACATAAATGGGTTACATGACATTCACTGGTGATAAATTGGGGACGGGAGCTAAGGAGGAAAATCTCTGAGATTGGATAAAAAGTAAAAAAATAGAAAAAGACATAAACTTCTTTTTAAGTTTATCTACTAGTTAACTGTTAATATTTAACAGAACAACAATAATTGGGGTTCTGCGATCTTCTGTGTTCAGAGATTGTGCTCTTAGGTGTCTGTGAAACAGAAATGTCCCTTAAAATCCGTAGGTATGTTATCCCTGATGCAACAGACAAAAGACAGGCTCAATAAACTAAAATTTGCACCTTGCAAAAAATTTAAAAACCACACACACACACACACACACACACACACACACACACACAAAACAACGCAGACTGGGACATAAATTCCCCTTTGGCTGTAATGGGCGACCCGTGGAGAAGACCACCAGGGACTCAGATGAAAGATTTAGGAGCCTTTATTAAGCTGGCCAGCGACTACAGTTGCAGCACCCTGCCGAAGCAAAGGCTGAACAACAGCGCAGACTATAGGAATTACAGCATTTTTGTTTGCAAAAACCTCAAAGTTACAAAAACCATAGTTCCAGACACAGTATAGTATCAATACCTTCCTATCTATGTGTTTTAGGGTCACAGATTACAGCATATTGAGAAGGGGCCATGAGACCATATCTCAAGGCCTGGCCTGATGTCAGTACCCTCCTATCTATGTGTTTTAGGAACAGAGAGCACAGTGCGCCCCATCTGGCCGAAGCACCAGATATGCAGCCCAGCACAGTGACTACCTTTTACTTAAAAAATTTTAACTTCAAAGCATCCTATGTGGGCACTTTTAGCCTCAGAGTTTGCAAGATTGGCTATGCTATGTCAGGCTCCCTGAGCTTGCTAGCTTTACTGTGTGCCATCATTTTTGTCCATATTGGGGAGTTAGAACCTGTGGGTTTAGGAGAAAATTCAAGGAGTGGTTTATCAACTCCGGGACACATTGCTGATGTCCTCCTAAACACAATGCCCCGAGTATTGCTGCTGTGCCTTTATTTCGTCTCCTAGAAGGAGTCACTCTTCAGGTCACTAAAGCCTTAGGTTCTAAATGTGGTGGAGGTATTTTGTAAGGACAAGAAAAAGGTTTATTTCTTTGTTGTGGCCTTCCACAAGTGATGAGAAGCACCTGCTAATTAAACCCCAAGTAGTGTATTTCCGGCCGGAACCATTATTCACATCCTCCTTAACAGAATGATCCCCGTATTGCTGGTGTCCCTTTATTTTGTCTCCTCGAAATATTGATTCTTCAGGTTACTAAAGCCTTAGGTTCTAAATGTGGTGGAGGTATTTTTAAGGACAAGAAAAAGGACTTTATTTTCTTTGCTGTGGCCTTTCACAATTTATGAGAAGCACCTGCACCCAAGATTGTTGGCTCATCTAATTCAACAACACCACTGTTCAAACTGCTGAACAAGATATTTTTTTTTAAATAAATCTTTATTGTTCAGATTACAGTTGTTCCTGTTTTTTCCCCCATAGCTCACCTCCACCCATTTCCCACCCCACCCTCCGCCCTCACCCCCCACCCCACTGTCCTCATCCATAGGTGCATAGGTTTTCAATATCTTGCTCTCTCTCTTCTTCTGGCACCCGTATAATTCGGATGTTGGTACGCTTGAAGCTGTCCCAGAGGCTCCTTACACTATCTTCGTAGTTTTGGATTCTTCTTTCATTTCGCTTTTCTGGTTGGGTGTTTTTTGCTTCTTCATATTTCAAATCTTTGACTTGATTCTTGCGATCCTCTAGTCTGCTGTTGGGGGTATGTATAATATTCTTTATTTCAGTCAGTGTATGCTTAATTTCTAGTTGGTCCTTTATCACAAC